TTTCCCAACCCTACCCATACAAAATCCGCAACAAGGAGACAGGCAAGGTTCTTACCCCAGTCCTCAACAACTTGGGACACTTGAGCCTTACTCTTCGGAATTACGGTACAATTTCCATGGGAAGGCTTGTCGGTATGCAATGGGTTCCAAATCCAAACAAGAAGACGAAGGTCAGACACATTGACGGTGACAAGCTCAACAACCGTAAGGAGAACCTCGAGTGGTTCTAAGAGTAAAAAAATTTTATTTTAGGGGGAAACCCCGAGTAAATTTAAGTTTTTAGTTGCATAAGTAGCTTAAATTAATGGCAATTTGGATAAGTAGTTCCTGACCTCTGAATTGGACTCTTTCGTCATCCCAGTTGCGTAGGAGGTCGTCCCAGAGGAGTTGGTAGAATTGCCAATCCAAGGACGATTTGTCCTCCCAGGCATTGAGGATGTACTGCTCGTAGAGTTTCATGACCTCTGCCTTGCACCAGACACCCTCTCCCTTGGAACGTAAGGCTTCTTCGAAGTGCTCGAATGCGATTGGCTGCTTGACCATCTGAAATGACACTTTTTGTCCGTTTGGTCAATGTTTGTGTCTCGTGCCATAGTCGACGAAAATACAGACAAACAGGTTATATATGAGTTTGAGACCAAGAATTCCCCACATTTAAATTCAAATTCGAATAAAAATTTTTTTACTTCATGCAATGTTTAACTATTTCACCATCTTCTTTAACACCCCAGTACTTACGCTTGGAGAGGACATGAACTTCGGTGAAAATTTTGTCCAATTTGAATTGACCCATCTTTTCACCGACTAAACCCATTTCAATGAGTTTGTTATAGCCTTCCTCGTTCGTCATGAGTGCGTCAATGTTCTCATAGTATACCTTCACTTTGGATTTAACATCGGAGAAGAATTTGTTGTAGTTGTCAAGGACTGCTTTTGCGAACTGAGGATAAGACCAATGTTCGACAATAGGTTTTACTGTGGTTACTAAGCCATTTTGACCTTGAGTGAACTCGTATTTCAAAACAAAAGGAGAAAACCTTTCAACAAAGTTGTCGACCTTCTCATAGTGTTTACTCTTCATCTTTTGAGGTTTTTTAATGGAATATCCCCATGTCGAATTCATAAGCAATTTGAGTGTCATTGCAAGTTTGGGGTTTGAAGCTTTCCTAATATCATACAGTTGTTGTATGACTTTTCCAACTGTATAGTTCTTTCCCGGGAACTCACCATCTTCGTTTGGAATTCCAGTCGGATATATTGGACAAACCTCATGTACGCAGCGTTAAGGTCGACATAGTATATTTTTTCATGAGTCGAACTTGTCGCACCAATCGGTCCAGTTCGTGGAAATTCAAGTGAGTCTCTTATCTTCTGAGAAACTTCTCCTGTTATCTCATAAACATCGTCAAAGCAACCTGTTTCATATAAAACCTTCTGACCTAACTCAGATGCTCTCCAATACAATTTGACGTCGATTGGATGTCAATGGAAGTTTGTTTATAGCATCTTGAAGTTCTTGCAACCTCATTGGAAGTTCTTCTGGTTCAGGTTGGTATCCGAACAATCCAACTCCTTGTGGAACTGTGTACTTCTTTTGTGCTAACTTTGTCTGGAACAACTTTTGGTCTTGCTAACAATGAAAAGTTTGTTTCGTCTTTTGGTACAAAAGTTTCTGTCAGCTTGTCATCTGGAATTGGTTCCAACAAACCTTTCTCGAAAAGAATGTTAACAGCTCTGACAATGTTGCACTTGCCTTTTCCGAACAATGGGTTTGTAAGACTTTCGTTCAACATGAAGTGGTTGTGGACAATTACAATCTTCAACCATGGTAAGTCTTTGTCAACAACATAGTCGTCATGTGAAGAACCTTTCTCAGTCGGTATGTTGACTCGGATATTGACATTTGCCAACGGTGCAATTTTTGACAATTGACCTCTGAGAATGTACCTTGTTTCACACATGACTCAAGATACTTCATCTTCTCATCTGTAACAAGACCAGAGTTCCTGAGACATGTAAGAATACAAGGTTCATTGACAATTGTTTCAATTGAATTGTAAATTCCATACCTTGTCAAGTCAATGTCAGACTTATTTCTGAAGGGGAAGTATCCAGCATGTTGTCTGACTGCTTGAGGGTTAGGTTGGTACCATTCAAACTTCACGCTTGCAATTCCTTCAATTGCATTCAAAATGTCTGAGTCGGAGTCAACATTTGTTCTCTCTTTGTAGTCTTGAAAGCGTCAAGAAGTTGTGCGGCTGTTGTGACATTGCCATGCGCATAGTAAATATGACCATCTAAATCTGTTACGGTTAGTCTGAGATTGTATCCTTTCTTATTTCCGTCTTGAATTGCAGCAAGTACACCCATGAAGCCTTCTTTGTTCTTTCCTTCGTCAAAGTTTACTGTAAAGGTTCGACCAGATGTAATTTTACTTCTAACTTCACGATACTTTTCATATGCATATCTTGTTCTTTCCATGGGAGCATGTGCGTCTTCCCTTCCTTTTTTCCTTCTCAAAGGATGCAATTGTTCGTCATGTTTCCAGTAGAATCTGGCAAAGCCGTCGTGTCCTTCAACTTGAGGTTCACTAACATCGAAAGGCATGTCCATAAGACGTTCTTCTTCTAACCTCTCTATCTGTTTGGATAATTTGCGCGTGCTGTTTCCAAGTCCATTTCGTAGCGAAGACCAGACAATTTGTCATAGACTTTTATGGGTCTTCCCTTCCTATATTTAAACTTCTTTGAAACTCTCCAACCATATCTTTCTAACTCTGCTTTTATTCTAGCAGACCTTCTATCCATTCTATACGGGGGCATTTTTATAAAAATAAAAAAATGTTTTTTCTTTACTTTACATAACCACCGCTGCCAAAGTCTTTGACGCCAACCCATACCAGCTAATGAAGGTTGACTTGGTTTAGTTTGGAAACTAACCTTTGGTTTTGGTTTATCTTCAGTTTTTGGTTTTCTTCTTCTATTGGTTTTTCGTCACTTTTCGGTTCATCTGACTTTACCTCACTTGCAGGAACAGTTGTGTCGTCAACATCTTCATAAATGTCATATGCCATTTGTTTCTGTTTTCCTTTCAACTTTTTGTGTTTGTTGTAAAGTTTAGAATATTTCGACTCTAAGTCAATGAGATGTTCTATAATGAACTGTTGGTCAGTGAAGTAAACTTTTCCATCTGTTGTCTCGAAAGCTCCTTCAGACTTCAATATTTTATTTGTGAGAGTCTGTTTCTTTTTTGAGATACTAGCCGTTCCATTTTTATGAAAAGTGACTTTGTAGTTAGGGTTTGTATTTCCAGACCTGGCACTTTCTATTATTGAATTTTTCTCTTCATCTGTAAGTTCTTTGACAGGTTTTGACAATGGTTCTGAACTTTTTGTTTGTGGTGTCAAATCTACCGTTTCAACTTCTTCGGTCATTTCATCTCAGTAAAAAATTTTAGTTTGGTTTGTTTTCAACTGGTTGTTTAGGTTTTTTAAGTCGGTCTAAAACTTCCTGAGGTATAGGAAGAACTTGACAAACACGTGGTTGTGTAACTGCTGGAAGCCGACAAATCCATCTTGAACCCATTTGTCTCAATGCTGTATTGTTCATTTCATCTCAGTAAAAAAATTTACATTCCCCACGTTTGAGGCGGTTGAGGTTGGTTGTTGTTTACCCACTGTTGTGCATGGTTATATCCTCTGTTAAAGAATCTTTCACCTTGGTCCATATAGTGCCCTGCTTGGTTATAGTAGTCATTTGCTTTGTTATAGTAGTTTCCTGCTTGTCTTCCTACATTGTCCATCCATCCTTGAACTTTTCCTCTTGTTTCAGGATTTGGAATAAGATTTGCTGCATCTCGTGCTACATCCCAACCTTTCTGTACGGTTTGTATAATAGGTTGCGCTTTCTCTTTCAGTATACCTAAAGTACTCAAAATCTTCCTTCCAACTCCAAATACACCTCTGGCTATTGTTCCCACTGCGGGCAAAAATCTAGATGCGACTCCTGCTAATGCGCCAAATAAACCCATTTCTTATGGGTTAAAAATGACGAATTCAAACAAGGACCCGTATGTTTCTAAAGCGACAAAGAAAGCACTCATGGTAAAAATCTTTAGTTCAACACCAAATGCTTGGTTTATGGATATCTTGGAAAACATTCCGAGGTATAGAGAAGATGGACCACCATACTGGCTAATATTTGTTGGTCAAAACACAAGATACTGTGAAGCCATACCATTACAATCCAAAAATATTTTAGATGTGAAAACTGCTTTGACAATCTTCGTTGACAAATACCATCCAACAAAACTGACATCTGACTGTGAAAGTTCTTTCAAATCAGACGATATTAAAAACTATCTGCGTTCAAAAAATGTAAACCAATATTTCATTGTCGACCAAAACCATTCTGCTCTTGGTGTCATTGACAGTTGTATAAAAATCTTAAGAGACTTAAATCAACCACAAGGTGGTGAGGTAGATGAAATGTCATATGACGACAAGTATAGACATTTCTCCATGGCAAAGATGAGACAAGTTTTAAATATTTACAATAGCCGTAAACAAAAAGGTTTGGGAAACCATTCCCCCGAAGAAATGAAAAACAACCCGACTTAGAGAAAGACTATATATTTAATAGTTTAGTCAAAAGAGACAAACAAGAAAGAATGCCAGGCTTCAAACTTCAGAAAGGTGACAAAGTAAAAATAGAAATACCTAAACGCGACCCATATGAAAATACTATTGACTATGACAACAATGGGAACCCGACAGGTACTCACGTTCGTGTTCGTAAAAATAGAAGAAAGTATACAAGAGAATATTATGAAGTTTTAGGCAAACATGGCAAAATGTACAGACTGCAAGCAGAAGATAAAACTACTATTGTCAGACCTTGTTTCAAACTTGTCAAAGTTCAAGGTGGTATACTTTCAAAGACAGTTCCTAACAAATATAAGACAACTCCTGACGAATATGCTAAAGAAGTTGAAAATGACGACTAAGCAATTCTATACCATGCGTAAACTGTCATGTAAGGTGGCATGTATTCTTTACTTTGTCCCGTTGTTTGCGTATACCCTGAAACGCGATGTATATGGTTTCCTCCTCCCTCAGTGTTACTCCAGTAACAATTTATAGCAAACTGAACGTTGTCTTTAACATCATATCCTTTACCTTTTGTCATTGCTGACCAATTCCAATATCTATGCTTATGCCAACCTGCTTGAGATGTACTTAAATCTATGTAGTGACTGTGCGCAGGTAAGTTTTCACCTGAAATCGTTTTACTTCCACCTGTTTCCTTTGAAGAGTTTGCACAATACAAAAACCTGTCGACTATTTGTTCCCATGCACCAACACCAAACATTGCTTGAGGACCTCTTGCTTCCATTGACGTGTAAATAGAACCTACTGGGTTCATTAAATCAAACATATGAGATATTATAGGATTGTCTCTTTTGAACTTAAAATATAGTGCAACTATTTCAGGTTTCTTCTTTTTTGTGTCAGAATATTTTTTATAATATAATCTTATGTTTTCAGGGTAGGTAAAATCTTGACTATAATATTTATTTCTGTCATCTGTATAATAGTATACTATTCTCGTTTTTTCTATTGCATTATATCTTTTATATCTATAAAAATCTAAATATAATGTTAGCTTTTGTTCATCTGCGTGTAGTATTCTTTCGTCATCTCCATAGTCATAATAGTATGGTGCTGGAGCTGGGTCAGGCAATGTCATATCTGCCATTTCATAAACTCTTAAATATTTCTTTTGTTCGTCTCCATATAAGTTTAAGTAGCAGTTGTTGTCTAATGGAACTTTAACTTGTGTACCATCGTTCTTTTTATAGCTTACATACATTTCATTGTTATTTTTCGGAATGAGTTTATACCGTATACCATTTTTTAAGGAATGTACAAACTCCCATCTAAAATATTTGTTTTCTTCATTGACAGAAAAGTCACCAACAATAGTTTCAATATTTTTTGTTGTTCCAACTAAACTTTGGTATATTTCATTGACATATGTTTTATCTGCTTTCTTTTCAAGGCTAACGTTTAAGTCTGTTATTTCAGAAGATGTATGTGTATGTCCAACGTCACTTTTCCTGTTTAAGGTTTCTTGTAAGTTTGTAATATTTGCAATGGTATGTGTATGTCCAACGTCACTTTTCCTGTTTAAGGTTTCTTGTAAGTTTGTAATATTTGCAATGGTATGTGTATGTCCAACGTCACTTTTCCTGTTTAAGGTTTCTTGTAAGTTTGTAATATTTGCAATGGTATGTGTATGTCCAACGTCACTTTTCCTGTTTAAGGTTTCTTGTAAGTTTGTAATATTTGCAATGGTATGTATATGAGTCTTTTTAGAATATTCTTTGTCAGCTCTTGTCACTTCACTTGACATTTTATTGTCAACATATGTTTTGTCCGCTAGTTCAGGATGAGTATGTTCTTTCGTTGCATATGTTGCATCTGCTCTGTCATGTTCTTCTTGAACTTTTTCAATGACATACTCTTTGTCAGCTTTGTTGTCAACATCCTCTTTCGTTGCATATGTTGCATCTGCTCTGTCATGTTCTTCTTGAACTTTTTCAATGACATACTCTTTGTCAGCTTTGTTGTCAACATCCTCTTTCGTTGCATATGTTGCATCTGCTCTGTCATGTTCTTCTTGAACTTTTTCAATGACATACTCTTTGTCAGCTTTGTTGTCAACATCTGCTTTCAAAAGAAGTTCTTTTATAGGTTTCTCGTTTAAAGTTCCTTTTGTTGGATTTATACAAACAGTATGGTTCTTACTGTCTTGAAATAGAAACTCGTCTGTCAATGGGTTTAATGTCAGTTTTAAGTTTCCTTCTTTCAATGACTCAGATATCTTAGAATAGTTTGAAAAGTTTGTTGTGTTCTTATTTAGAGCTTGCAAAATGAGTTGTCGGTTGTGTTTTATTTCTCTCATAGACGCTGTTTCTTTCGACATTTTTATTCTAGATAAAATATGCTTTCAATAGAAAAAGAAACTTCTAGAGTTGCTACAACTAAACCATTAGATGAACTTTTTACGAATGTCGGTCAAAAGTTTGAGACAGAGACCGTAAAGCATGAAGGCTATCGTTTTGACTACCCATTGAGATGGTTAAGAGACCCATCCGTCACAAAAGCTATTGGCTTTCGTAGAATGAAGTTCATTTCAGAAGCCATACATGGTTTCCCATTTACGGTCGCTTTTGAAGTTCGATACTATAACAAAGAAAAACGTACGTATGAGAAATTTGAACAGGGAAAACTTTTACAAGTGAATTTGCTTGTAAACTTAGAAACAACTCTTCAAGCTTTTCAAGAAAAAATAAACGATATCTATCTCGAATATGCAAACCAGTTTAACATTGACGAAGGAGAGTACCATCTCGATATTTTATATGACAGGAAAAATGCAACTGTTAAATTCAATAGAATAGAAGACCTTGGAGAAGACGTTTATATTTCTACAAAATATAACAACTTGGCATAGTATAGATTTTTGAGGATGTTAAATCAGCCTGCAGAATATCCAGTACACCCGGACTTTTATGAAGTCGAAAACCCTAATGGAACATATGAAAATGTTTTCGACTCAGATGCTATTATCGTTCATGCTTCATTTTCTGGCGCCCAAAACTCTTTTTTATGCTTGGCAAATGACTTTTACGAAAAACCTACAAAGCTATATGAACCACCAAGTGGAAGTATTTCAGACTTTCAAGTATGGTTTACAACAGATGGAAGAAAGAGAATAGTTCTATTATACCACGCGTTTTACTTAGAACTTAGTCTCATATACAACTACTATCGAACGGTAAAAATATAATTTTAATACGGTTGAGGTGTTGGATTTGGTTGCCAACTAGACTGTGGTGCAGGTTCAGGCTGTTGTATAACAGGAGCTTGTTCTTCTGGTTCAGGGTCTTTAGGTATAATACCAACGAACTGACCTACTCTTTTACCAATATTTTTGACTCCGTTCCAAATTCCTCTTCCTACGGTTTTTATTCCATTCCATATACCTCTTCCAACATTTCGAAAGAAGTTTCCAATACTACTGAAGAAACCCATTTTACTATATGTAAAAATCTAATGTCCGCCTAGTCTTTTACGTTTCCTTCTGAGTTCCATAGCATTCTTTAACTGGAGCTCATACATTCTATTTCTCCTCTGGTAGAAAACATACTCTGGGTCAACTCCTGTGTTCGCGTCATCTGCATAAAGTTGTTTATATCCGACTTCAGGGTTTGTATAAAACTCTTTCCATCTCATATTTGCATACCATGGTGGCAAACCTAACGCAGCGTCATTTGACATGGCAGTTTGCATTTGTACATCTGTTGGCACTTGACCATAGTTTGCCATTGCAGTTTGTATTCTAACTTCATTTGGAATATTCTCTGGGTTTGGTTGTCCGGGTTGCTGTGCATTCGCTAAGTTCTGTGCGTCCATTTAATATTAGATAAAAATATCTCTTACGAGTACATATGCTGAACATTTGCTGGTATTGGTTCATCTTCATATTCTCTATATCTTTCTGCCACGTCAAATAAGTAAATGACACAATGGAAAAAACCTAAAACAAGTAGTCCTATTTCAAACCACATTTAGTTACTAGTAAAATTTCTTTGTTATGACACTTTTTCCGGTTTATAGGACCTCTCTCATATTCTATCTTATCGTATCTAAAATCATAGTCATGTATATCCTCTAACCATCTCATGACACTTTCCAAACCACTTTTATCGGATGTAAAGTAAAAGCATGGATGGTTATGTAAAACGTCTAAAGTTTCTAAAGAGTCTCTCAAAGTCCAGTCTACTTGGTATTGAAAATCATATGTGTTATAGAACGGCGGGGTCTACTATAAAGAAAACATTTTCCTTGTTTTTATATTTTTCATACAACTCTGTCCAATGACATCTCACAAACTCTATACCCTCAGTATATTTTTCTATGTCCTCTTTGAAAACCTTTGTATAGTTAAGATATAAAACGTTTGACATAAGTGTTTCAATGTCATGAACTCTTATAGAACCACTATACAATAGTCTAGAAGATATACTATCCCAGTCAATATATTCTGCTTTTTTCAAAACCTCTCTGACAGTATTTTTCTTATCTAATGGTATACGTTCCATCTTACCTATAGGTATCTTTTCTTTTAACTCTTTCAATATTTTGTTTGTGTCTGGTATATGTTTGAGACGGTTCATATAGTTGTCGAAGTCATTGCATATAATCTTTGAGTCAGGAAATACAGTATGGCACAAATGAGATATATAGAAACTTCCACCGAACAAATCTACAAATGTTAGACCATTCGGTAGTTTCTTAAGTTCTCTCAATAGAATATCTTTACATCTACTCTTATTTCCAAAGAAGGGTAACGGTGGTTTTGTAAAATTCATTTTATATACAATAAAAATGTTTTTACCCTGAAAAGTGACAGAAAAGTGACAAAACATGAAAACTACTTTGTTCAGGTCTTGTCGGTTTTGTAAAATAACCATCCTATCTTGTTAAGACTTCCTGGACTGTTGTCAAAATGTCATGTTGTCACACTTTTTCAGAGAAGTTCATTTGACCGAGGGACCGAGGGACCGAGGGACCTGGTGTTATACTAAACATCTTCAGGGGGCTAGAGGGGCGCAGCCCTGGAAGCCCCAATACCTTTTTTTTTTTGTGATATTATTCTCTTTTAAAAAGGAGGATGTTTTATTGTTGTCTAAAAAAGTGACAAAACTATCATTTTACAATCATATTTTGGTAGCTAAATAAAGGAAGAACATCAATACCATCTATGTATATAGTGTGCAAACACGCAAGATAAATCTAATAGCTCTTTGTCTGGCTAAAAATAATCGTTTGGGGAAATATCAGTCTGTATCTCCAAAATTCAAAATATTCCCATCTCTCTAATTTTGACATTCTCTCAATTTTTTTGACACTCAAGTTTTTTATCCAAATTTTCTAAGGTAAAAAGTTAATGATTTTGTTTGGGAAAATGTTAATTTAAATCTCTATCTAGTACCTTATATTGTTGCTATCCTATTGGCATTAATCATATCAGAAAGTGGTAAGTGGACCACGAAATAAATTATCTTTTTTTTTTGACATTGTATTTGTCAAATTGAACAATCAGTAATATTATCTTGTTATATAAATTTATTGCATTTTATATATTGATTGCATTTCTGTTTCAAATTGTGAAGTTTACAAATCTATTATATTTGAAAAGAATGACTGATGTTGAAAATCAGCTTCCATCTAATATTGAAGCACCGCAAATGATTGCCCCATCAAACGATAATCCATATGCAGAATATGATAATATCGCAGTTAGCGGAAATCAACAACAAACTGAAAACATGGGTTATTATCCACAGCAATACGATCCTAATCAAGGAGTAGCCCAAAACCCTGCAGTTGCATCAAAGTCAATACACGATCTTTATGTTAATACGAATTTTAGCGAAGATATTTCTTCATGGAGCAATATCAGGAATGAACCATCAGAACATGTCGGATTTTGGAACACAGCTGAATCCCTCACTAATTTTTCGCAAAATGCCACGCAGTTACACAAATTAAATTCAATTTTCTGGTCCAGTCCGTTCTTTTTGAATTTGCTTGTCCTATTTGTTCTTAACTGCTGCAACTGGCAGCGCCAACTCTACCCAGATCTGAGAGGATATACTCTTAGTTTACCAATTCTTTATACTTTCCTTTGGGCATTCCTTATCATTGTACTTTTGGTAGGAGAACAATTTGTACCATTTATCTCTGTTAAATTCGGCATTTTCATTAACTTAATTTTGCATTTAACATTTTATTTGATCAGATGCAAGGTTTTCTGGGAATACATCTTCGTATGGCTTACATTCGTAGTACTTGGACTCTTCTTTTACGTCATTACTCTTGGTAGATCGAAATACGACGCATATTTGACTCTTGTCGTCAACAGGGAAGTTCTGTTGAAGCTTACCTTCATTATACTTATGATATCAGTCATTACAATCATTTCTGTCGTTTATGTTTTAACTTTATACACATCTTGGGCATATTGGAAAAATGCCATGTGGCTTTTACAATTATACTTAGTCGTTTCATTCTACAACATTGTCTGTGTGTTAGGCAACTGCACTTACATGACAACTTCTTATTTAACCGCAAAATTATATTTAACTGGCGAAAGACCAACTCTACAGGACTTGTTAGCAGCCTTACGACGTGGATTTGTTGATAACATAGGTGTTGCTTGCAAGATGTCATATTTACTCCCGATTTCGGAATTTATTCACTCCACAGCCAGATATTCACCACAATTAACAGTTTCCGAACTGAAAGCAAGTTATCCAAATGTTGCAGAACTTATTTTAGCTATTGCCAAGCCAATTGTCCATATTTTTGAGGTTTTAGCCAAAATTGAGATGAAAATTTTGAAATATCCACAAAGAAGAGCCATGGCGTACTGCGGAATATACGGAATCAGTTACGAAGAAGCTGTTCATCGTTATTGCGAAGTTTCTTACACAAAAGGTTCATCATTAGTTGATGATGCATATATGTACGACACACAACTTATTTTCAAACAGTTTTCATCTGCTTTGGCTTGTTTCTTCATCGATTCAACAATTAGAATTCAGAATTACTACTGGTTCCGAGGATTTTGCCTTGGAAGCGCTTTCTTCCTTTTGTTCGGGCTGTACTACACAATTAGAACAGTCATGAGAGGTTTCTTGGAAACTGTTTTTGTTTTGTTCGGAGAGTTGCCGGAAAACGCAAATAAAATACATCCGGGGTTGTACGAAACACTCAAGCAGATGTATGCAACATCAGTAAGAGCAAGGAATGAGAACCTTGACAGGAATTCCGCTCTTTTAACTCAAATTACAACTGATTACCAGAATTTGTAATTTTTATTATAAAATGTAATTTTTTTTAAATTTAACATCGTTATATATATATAGTACATTCTTATCTAAAATGTTTATCTAATCAAATGTATTTTTTTTTACATTTAACATCGTTATATATATATTGTACATTCTTATCTAAAATGTTTATCTAATCAAATGTATTTTTTTACATTTAACATCGTTATATATATATAGTACATTCTTATCTAAAATGTTTATCTAATCAAATGTATTTTTTTTTACATTTAACATCGTTATATATATATTGTACATTCTTATCTAAAATGTTTATCTAATCAAATGTATTTTTTTACATTTAACATCGTTATATATGTAAGGGATTATATTTCCATGATCCATAGTTAAAATCATACCTTTTTCGATATATTGTATCACAATCATCATTGTGATCAGGGGTTATCCTGTAGGTGCAAAGAGAAAGGGACAGACTAGCCCATTGTCACTTTTTAATTTAGCAAATGAACGCTTATGGAGTGGAGTTTTTGGGTAAATCTGATTTGCTTATAAATGAAATAAAATCAAAAGAAACCATATTGGCATTATATTATGCAAAAATAAATGATCTTACTTAGTACTTTTAAAGTTAATTTCAGAAAAAATTTGACACAATGGTATCCGGCACATACAAGTGGTGTACAACCAAAATATAAGTTGGTTTAAACATATATTGCTATATCTCATGATCTTACTTAGTACTTTTAAAGTTAATTTCAGAAAAAATTTGACACAATGGTATCCGGCACATACAAGTGGTGTACAACCAAAATATAAGTTGGTTTAAACATATATTGCTATATCTCATGATCTTACTTAGTACTTTTAAAGTTAATTTCAGAAAAAATTTGACACAATGGTATCCGGCACATACAAGTGGTGTACAACCAAAATATAAGTTGGTTTAAACATATATTGCTATATCTCATGATCTTACTTAGTACTTTTAAAGTTAATTTCAGAAAAAATTTGACACAATGGTATCCGGCACATACAAGTGGTGTACAACCAAAATATAAGTTGGTTTAAACATATATTGCTATATCTCATGATCTTACTTAGTACTTTTAAAGTTAATTTCAGAAAAAATTTGACACAATGGTATCCGGCACATACAAGTGGTGTACAACCAAAATATAAGTTGGTTTAAACATATATTGCTATATCTCATGATCTTACTTAGTACTTTTAAAGTTAATTTCAGAAAAAATTTGACACAATGGTATCCGGCACATACAAGTGGTGTACAACCAAAATATAAGTTGGTTTAAACATATATTGCTATATCTCATGATCTTACTTAGTACTTTTAAAGTTAATTTCAGAAAAAATTTGACACAATGGTATCCGGCACATACAAGTGGTGTACAACCAAAATATAAGTTGGTTTAAACATATATTGCTATATCTCATGATCTTACTTAGTACTTTTAAAGTTAATTTCAGAAAAAATTTGACACAATGGTATCCGGCACATACAAGTGGTGTACAACCAAAATATAAGTTGGTTTAAACATATATTGCTATATCTCATGATCTTACTTAGTACTTTTAAAGTTAATTTCAGAAAAAATTTGACACAATGGTATCCGGCACATACAAGTGGTGTACAACCAAAATATAAGTTGGTTTAAACATATATTGCTATATCTCATGATCTTACTTAGTACTTTTAAAGTTAATTTCAGAAAAAATTTGACACAATGGTATCCGGCACATACAAGTGGTGTACAACCAAATCTTCGACTCGATGAACTTGTCATCGAGTTATATTCCAGTGTTGTTCCTTCATTCCTGATTAAGTTGCAAATTAAAGGTCTGGATTCAGAGAGAAGTGTTAAAGTTATCAAAAAAGTCACAAGAGATTTCGAAGAAATGACACAATTTAAAAAAGTCGAATGCATCAGTATGCTTGAAGCTGTTCAGAAAGGTCTGAAAAATGATACACTTGATCCCAACATTGTTTACTCAACATTAAAAATATTATTGCAAAGAAAACATTTGATTTAATAAACATTTAATTTATTATAATTAATTTTTTATTACAGTATAGTAAAAAATGCTATAAATAAATTATTATATTTTATTAAAATGTGACTTTTAATAGTAAGTGAATAAAATAAATCAGGAATTGGGAAAGAAATAAGGTTAATTAAAAATAATGAAAATTACAAGTTTAAGGTTAATGAAAAAGTGACAATGGGCGAGTTTGTCCCCCACTCAGGTGCAAAAAAATGCGCAAAAACGATTATTTTGAATTGAATTTGGGCAAAATTTGCGCATTTTAAAATATTTCCGTGTGACGATTATTGAATTTTAGAGATACATTCATATCATGATTTGTATTGACTTTCATTAATTAATGTGATAAGATTAAAAATATATTCTATATTGAAGATATGACTCAGATCTAAAGTTTTGGTAGAATATTAAAAATTTAATGCGGAAAATTTAGAGATATTCAATTGACATTTCATGGTCTGTTATAAAAGCAAATAAACTATGGATCCAATTTCCAAGTTACTTAAGTGTGCACTTACCACTTTCTGACATTCTCTCAATTTTTTTGACACACAAGCTTTCTATCCCAATATTCTAAGTCAAAAGTTAATTTTTAAAATTGAATTTCAGAAACTTCGATTATTTTTAATATCTATGGTTGCTGCGAAAGGAATGATTGGACGTATTTTTCATTATTAATATTTTGTGATATACTGAAGAAATTTCTTTCTGAGAACTCAATGGTGATCACAACAGTTAACATTCCAAACGCAATTAAAATACCATATATGGACATAATAAAGTTTAAGAAAATTTTAGTTTAGATGTTACTTCTTTTTTTTTATACAAAATTTCGTCGAAGTCTTTCTTATCCGTATGACATAAAAACTATTGTATATTCTAACAATGAATATCAATATTAGTTAGGATAGTAATTAGCTAAATCAAAATCGCTAAAGGGATCATTAGCTTAGTTAACAAAAATGCACGTTATTTATTCTTTGAGCCTTCATCCCGAGATCTTTTTTTAGATTTTGAATCAGTAAAAAGATAGAGTATGAGGAATGTATTCTATATCTACGTTTATAGATATAAATATCAATTCTATAATAAGGAAAAAGAATCTTTAAATTGAATAGTTGTAAACTAAGGCATTAATCCCTCAATACTCAAGTCCCAGTCTCTCAATTTTCAAAATTGAATATATTCGTCATGGAAACTCTTACTGATGAATTTTATTCAATTTTGAAAAATGAGATTAAAATGCCCTCCAATTCCAATTGTTGAAGATAATATTATAAAAAAAGATAACACATCCAACCAAGGGAAATCATCGGAAAGATATTTAGGTCCTAATCTTTCAAAAATAGGATAATCTTTCTCGTATTTATATTGAAACTCTTCTGGACCTAATGAGATAAATTTTTCAACTGCAATTTCGATATTTTTATCAACTTCTTTAAAGAACATATTTTCAAATATTATATGTAATCTGAATAGTCTTGAGAATATATATAAATATTGACCATTTTTGCTTCCCATAAAATTGATTATTTTTGAATTATTATTATTATTATTAAAACAAACTAATCGTGTATCAGGTTCAACTTTATTAAGTTTAGCAGAAAATCTCGAAGCTATTTTTTGAACTGTTTGAAGAAAGTAATAGTAGTAGGATAGGAAGGGTTGTGTGACTTTTTTTGTTGCATATATATATAGACGATGCATTAAAATATTTATATACTAAACGCATTAAAAAATTAACATTAATTTTAAAATAATTTATTTTTTATCTTTTATAAAAGAAGCTATATATAGATGATGTCAGATATTCCGCGATTAATTAAACATTGTTTAAATCCTGAATGGAATCAATGGAGTCATAATCAAAGACCTCATAAACGAGTAAAAGAAATTAGAAATAATTATTTTCATGAATAAAAGATTCACTACCATAATGAAATAAAAAATAAAAAAATAAACTTTAAAAATTCATGTCTTACATTTTTGAATAATTTATTTTTAATTCGTATGAAATGAGCGTCAAAACTAACAACGTTAAAAAATTAGGATTCACAAACGAGGAAATAAAGGATATATTAGATGAGATGTGTTATGAAGTTAGTAAATATTATTTAAGAAATTGTCAAAAATTTGCCGAGTTATTAAATGATTTAGATTATGATGGAAAAATGAATAAAGATGATGTTATAAATTTCTTATATCCCACATCTGAAGAAGAAAAACCTAAAGAACCTGATGTTTTCCCTGAATATTATGAAGAACGGATTAAAGATGATGAATACAATGAAATTGAAATTGAAAGACTGGAAAAAATAAGAGATGAAATAGATGAAAAAATTAAGGAATTAAGAGAAGTTGAAAAATATAATGAAAATGAAGTAGAGGGTTTAATGAATATCCCAGCTTCAGAATCAGCAGTTCAGAAATCTCATGAAGAAAGATATAAAAATTATGTCTCAGAATCAACACAAAATTTATTAGATGGCGAAATAGATGAAACACTTTCAGAAGAAGGTACTAAATTTATACGTAAACATAAGTTACAATTTATTGATAATGAAAAATACCCTGTATCTTACTTTCACCCCCTCTCGATTCTGAGAAATTCAAAAAAGCTCTTAAAAACGTGACATATGCAACTAATACGATTAAGAAAGAAGATCATGATATTTACACAAATTATTATTTAAATAAATGCACAGGTGTTGATAAAGTTTTTGATTTATTAGATAAAATATCAAAAGAAACCATTGGAACCTATAAAATTTTGTGTGATTGTGGTTTCATTATTGAAGATACCAATAATGTTTCATATGAAAGAACAGCACCGAAGGAAGACGAAGTGGAAAGGTCTATACCATTCGTTATTAAGAACATAAAAGATATGAAAACGTATAAGCATTATATTTATTCATTTATTTCAGAAAAAATGGAAGCAACCCATAAAACATCTTCTCATCATTTTATAGCTATTCATACATTCCTTTTCAAAGTTGTGAAATTAAATAAGACAGGAGTTAGATTTAATGTATCAGGGTACGCATTCTTGAGTAAATTAAAATGTATTCGTCACGTCGCAGATGATAAAAATTTATGTGTTCTTAATTCATTTTATGGGCTTTAAAAAATAAACTTTATTTTTTAATTTTTTATTCTTACATAAATGAACAAAAACGGAACCGCTAAAATGAATGATAATCAAATTAGAGCAGAAGGTAGAAGGTTATTTAAACGCTTATATAACATTCCTGATGGTGTTAATCCTAAAACTCGTAGAAGCTATTTAAATGAAGCAATAGATGCATATGAAGGGTTTGACATTTCATCAGAAAGTGAGAGATTAGCGAGAATGTTAAATGTTAATATTGATTTCTATTATTGTGATCCTCAACCAGAAGACGTGGACATAAATAAGGTAGACTTTCCATTAGTGGATTCAATAATGATAGATCCAGAATTTGAAACAGTAAATATTTTATTAACACAGAGTCCATGTGGAAAACTTCACGCTGACAGAATAACAGACGTTGAAGCACTCACCGGCTATAAAGTTTGTCCATATTGTAAAGAAGAAGTTTATTCTATCCGTGATGATCCAGAAAGGAAAAACCAAAGAAGATTTTTAAAGCATTGTGAGAAATGTAAAGAAAATAATGGAAGATTAATTCAAGACGTTCAGTTGCAAAAGACACAGCAACCATATGCACCACATATTACGAAACAGAAGATATATCAGTGGTTATTAGCTCACAATTTGCAGGAATATTATCAACCGACAAGATATTATATTACTTTTGACTTCGAAACATTAGAGACTAAAGAAGAATTACAACTTTCTGAGTGTGCAACTTTGAATGCTTACTTAAAACCATTCATGGTATCATCAACGGTTAAATTAAATGATAAAACATATACGAGGAATTTTTGCTTAACTTCGAGTGATTCTTTTATTTCTGATTGGATTGAGTTTTTATTTTCAACCTGTTCATTAGTTGCTAAATCAAATATTGAACAATATGAAGAATTAATGAAGTCGCAAACGGCGGGGACTTTGTCTCATACATTAAATGAAAAACAGAAGGAAGCATTTAAAGAACTTCTAGATGAGGAATTCAATAAAGTGAATATCATAGGTTTTAATTCGGGAAAGTTTGATTTAAATTTAATTCTTCGTGATTTAAACACTGCAAAATGGAAAATAAAATCAATGCTGGGTTCATCTTCACAATTTAAGCAAATCATTGTAAAGAAAACAAACGTTCCATATGAATTGAGATTTATTGACATCAGAAATTATATAGCGGGTGGGACATTAGACCAATTCACTCAAGATTTCGGAAACAATAAATCACGTGTTAAATCCTTTTTCCCTTATCAATTCATCACGTGGGAGAATTACGAAGAAGAATTATATAAAGTGGAACCATTCACTCAAGATTCATTTTATTCAGCATTAACCCAAGAAACTATATCAGATAGTGATTATCAAATATATCTCAATGATGCTAAAAACTTTAAGAATAGATTAGAATATTTTATTCATTATTGCAATAAAGATGTTGAAATTATGATTGACCCAATTGATAAAATTATTGAAGAAACATTTGTTTATAAAATTGACATGCTTCATAATCTTTCTTTATCATCGAATGCTTCAATGATTCGTTACGCTTTAGCATATAAAGACTTTAATCCTAATGAAAAATATCCTGAGGAAGAGATAGAATCAAGTTTTGAATTAACGAAAAAGTATTGGAAATATAAAATTGAATCATATAAGAAACAAGATGAAAAAGCAGAAAGGGATACTAAAAATAATGTTTCAATGGATGATTTTCAATACTATCACGATTTAATCCTTTCATCTAAATGCAAAATGTGTGGTAAAGCGTTTACATATGCAAATAAACCAACATTGGATAGAATCGATAATGAAAAACCACATACCAAAGAAAATTGTCAGTTAATGTGTTGTTATTGCAATGTCGTAAAATCAAATAAAGATGAAGATGTTCAACGTTTAAGAATCAATTTAAGAAATTATGCATTAAAAAATAATTTACCAATGACTTTAGATTCAGTTGAAGCTTATCACATTCTCCGTAATGGAATTACTGGTGGTTTATCAAATGTTCAACATAGAGTAAATCTTAAAGGAATCACGCACATTAATAAACTTTCATATAGTCCAGAAACTAAAACTGTATCAAATGAGGACACCACCAACATTATGACTCATTTCGTTGGTGTTGATTTTAATTCATTATATCCTTCATCATTTTCATCTAATCCTCATGATTTCATTCAATATACTGACCATAAAATGTATATTCCGGGAAGATTGAATGGTGTTATCATTTGTGATACAGCAACAAAGAAAGCAAAAGCACTGGGAATAATTAAGAAGAAAAATACTTTATTCGTGGCTGAAGTAAAGGGTCACATTGATGAAAAATACATTAATGATTACATAAACTTTTTACCGATAATAAGAAACTTAGATATTATCACAGATGAAAAAACAATTGGCAGTTTTATGTATAATTACATGAAATCAAACAATCTACTGGTTGACCAGAAACAGAGAAAATTAACTCAATTAGCATCAACACACAACCAATATCAACCATTTTCTTCTTATTATCTTTGGTATCTAATAGACAGATTTCATTTTATCATCGATGATATTCAATCAATTTTAACATTTACGAAAAATACTTGTTTTAATGAATTTGCGAACAAATTTATGAACGAAAGACAAAAGGCTGAATTAGAAGGAAATAAAGGAAAAAGTTTATTTTGCAAAATTTCACTTAATGGATCATATGGTTACGATGCAATGAATACACAAAATTATGCAAAGACTAAAATAATGAATGCACAGAAGGCACGCGTTGCATGTATGTCAAATAAGTTTAAAAACATAAGAGAAATAGGTGAAGATACATATCAAGTGATGCTTAAAGATAGATTTTATAGATGTGATACATGTTTACAAGAGGCATTCTTCACTTTAGATAATGCTAAATACTGGTATTTGGTTTTCATTTATGATTTTATGTATAAATGCATGAATGTTAATCGTTTTCATTTCATTGAAGGTGATACCGATTCATCTTATTGGGCAATCGCTGGCGACCCAAATCTTCCTAACACTCAAGCATTTCAAGCAATTGTTACCGATAAACAATTTTATGATAAAAACATTTTCAAATTCGCACCTTTTGATTTCTTTTGTTTTGATGAGAAATTTAAACCTAAATTAAAGAATAAAGCTGAAGAAAAAGCACATGAGAAAAAATTATTGGGTTTAGCAATTGAGAAACAAGGTGATAACATGGTTGCTTTATGTCCTAAGTGTTATACATCATTCAACGGTTCAATTGATGGGGGTGATTTTAAAAAGATTGCACAAAAAATGAAAGGTGTTAGTTTAAGACAAAATAAGCAATTAACACCTAAAAATTATTTGGATATAATAAATGATAAAGTGATATTTGATGGTCAGAATATTAATTTACAACTTAAAAATGGGTCAATGACTCGCTTAACAATCGGTAAGACTGCATTAACAGGAGCACACACTAAGGCTGTATGTTGTGAAAATGGATGTTGTATGCCATTTATTTAAAATTTTATTCTTAATGAAATGCCACAGAAGAGACAAAAGGAACCGTTAATGATGGTTTTGATACTATGATTCAAAGAGGTGGGCACCCTTAAAACATTGATTTTATTTTTATATAAATGGATAACACAGATTTAAAAAAATTAATTTATGATTTAGTACTTAATCAAAATTTTCTTGATTATTATGATTTAAAAGCATATCTCCAAAAATATGATAAAAATATAACGGGTGATGATATGGAATATTATTATCCATATTATAAAAATGAAATTTTGAAATATCATGATAGAATAATTTCTGAAATTAAAGACAAAATTAAAAATAATGAATATACAAAGGGAAAAACTAAATCACAACTTAAACAGTTGAAAGATTTCAAAAATAAAGTATTAACAGAAGAAGATATTGATGAATTATATAAATTATATAATCCTGAGCCGCAAAAGCCAAAGGAACAAAAACAAAAGGAACAAAACACCCAGGTCCTTCAGACCATAAATGATGCACAAGCTTTAATTTATGATTCATTAGTTAAACCATATTCAGCCCGACTTTTAAATGAAGATCAACTTTTGGAATTCATCCTTCAACATAAACTCGAAGCGGGAAAGTATATCAAACCTTTATATACAGCATATTTAAAACAAATGAATAGAATACATCCAGAATTAATGAAGGAAGGAATGAATTCCAAAACTTCATCATCCAAAATCAAAGCAGATAAAATTAAACCACTTGCAACACCAAAACCTCCAACGACAGTACCGCCTCCTCCTTCAGTTAATCCTTCATCATTCACTTTATTATATCCATTTCAAACATTAAAGAAGCAAAAAGATTTTAAAAAGGGTTTCAAGATATTAAATAAACCAATTGACCCGAAAATTCAACCGTTAAAGGAAAAATTTAGTCGCCCTTCATTTGCACCATATCCATATTCATACGAAATCGATCATCTGGAATATTCAAAAGGAAACGTTACTTATTTATTTGCCATTAACATTAACACTAGATATTTATATTGCATTCCAGTGAAAGGGAAAACAGAACAGGAAACAAGAAGAGCTATACAATACTTACTAGATCATGAAAGAGTAGATAATATCAGGGTGATGGTGATAAAGGATTTCAGGCAACTATGACTCATTATTTCCCACAAATTAATTTTTTCTTTTCATCCTTCCATATACGTTTCATAATAAAATAGTTGATGCGGTAATGAGAACTCTTAGAGATGCGTTAGGGGTTAACGGTCAGATATACTGGGATGGAAATCATGACTCCATCATACAACAGTTAGTATATTATTACAATAATACATGTCATAGAACTATAAACATGAAACCAGTGGAAATGAAAAATGATATTTCAAAAGAATGGGAATATATTAGAAAGCAAATGGAAAGGTTGAATGATGTTAAACGTGAACAAATTAATTCGGGGCTCATGAATTTTAAACAAGGGAATAAAGTTTTGATTCATCTCGATTATGGAAAAACTGATAAATCAATGACAAAAAGAAGACGAAGATTTGACACAATAGCTGAATTTGTTAGATATATTAACGGCAATGCATTAGTTGAAGTTGACAATAAATTAATAGAAATTCCAATTTATTTTATTACTCCATTATATTTAAATAATATTTAATTTTTTTTATTTCGTAAGAAATGAGTGACAATGAAGCAGTCAAGAGTCCAGACGATGAATATAAAAAGAAACTAAACAGAATTAAATCAAAAATATGCTATTACAAAAAGAAGCCACAATGCGGTGGGGCTGATGCCCATAAAACTAATGGAACTGAAAACGATGAAGAAATAATCGAAAAATTAGAAACTTACCGTTCAATCCTTAAACTGGGTGAAGCAAAAATAAAAGAATTTAATAGAATAAATAAATTGGTTGGAAGAGATGAATTTAATAAAGATGAATTTTTAAACTCAATCCAAATTTAATTTTTATTCCTCTTTGACAACATCTCTCTTTCCATCATTACTGCATAACCACATTTTCTCAATTTTAGTGGTTTGTTATTTTTAACATGTTCTTGCATCATTTTTATCATCCTCCCTTGTTATGATTCGTGGTAAATTTTGAGCTTGTGGGGTATTCATTTATGATAAAAATAAAAATTTGTCATAAACGACCAAAAATATATTTTATCGTTAATGGTTTCAGGTTATTCAATAATTAATTATTTTTGAAGAACTGTGGGTGTCACTACGTCACCATGTGTCACTCGGTTATTTAACTTCTCTGAAAAAATGAGACAACATGACATTTAGACAACAACACAGGGGATTAATGAGGAAGGCAGTTATGAATTATTTTTGAAGAACTGAAGGTGTCACTACGTCACCATGTGTCACTCGGTTATTTAACTTCTCTGAAAAAATGAGACAACATGACATTTAGACAACAACACAGGAGGATTAATGAGGAAGGCAGTTATGAATTATTTTTGAAGAACTGAAGGTGTCACTACGTCACCATGTGTCACTCGGTTATTTAACTTCTCTGAAAAAATGAGACAACATGACATTTAGACAACAACACAGGAGGAAGGCAGTTATGACTTCATCGTATATGCTTTGTCATGACTTCATCGTATATGCTTTGTTATGACTTCTTCGTAAATGTTTTGTGAAGAATATAGCAACCGCCGGAATTCAGACGGTTGTTTTTTTATACAAAATTCACGCAGGATTAATGGTTTCAGGTTATTCAATAATTAATTATTTTTGAAGAACTGAAGGTGTCACTACGTCACCATGTGTCACTCGGTTATTTAACTTCTCTGAAAAAATGAGACAACATGACATTTAGACAACAACACAGGAGGATTAATGCAAAAATAAATTCAAATCATACTTTATAAAGCTTCATTTACAGGTATTTCATCGTCAGTAAATGAATCCTCATTATCGTTTGGTTCAACCTGTTTATATAATCCTTTCATTTCTTCTTTCAAAACATAACACCATGTCTGTTTACCATCTATTCTTCTCTGTTTCTTATCACATTTATCCTTAATACTCATTTGGAAATTCTTGTCTTTCATGTCTGATGGTTTGCAGAATAGAGCATTTTTACACATCATACCTGCACACAATTCATCATAATGTGTATTTATCCATACATCTAAAGGATTTGTTGATAATTCAATTAAATCTTGTTTGGCTTCAGTCATCGGTATGATTCGTACATTAAATGATGAAAGGTCATATTGCATAAAATATGTTAGTAAATTATCATAAAATTCCTTTGTGCATGAATTCATCAAATTCTTGAAATAATCAAATTGACCCTTGAATTTACCATTAACTCTTAAAACTACGTATCTTCTGTCTCCAACTTCAATTTTGACAGGGTAAACGTTATTAGTTACGAAAATGAAATTGGCAACGTTCTGAGCAGTTCTTCTGGGTTGATTCTTTTCATTAATTCTAATCTCATTATCCGTAATAATTGATTTCAAAGCGTTGAAGTTTGCGAGTCTATCTTCACCAACATTCTTGAGTTCATTAAGTACAAGAAACATTTTATTCTCAACTACTGAATTGAAATTACCCGTTAGCTCACCTATTTCAGTAATGTTTTTACATGAATAACCGGCGAGAAGTTCAGAAATAATGTCTGTAAATCTGTTTTTACCTGTTCCCTGAAGTCCTTTCAAAATAATTGCTGTTTCATTCTTGATTCCAGGATGTTGAATCATTGATGCAATCCAGCCGAGAAGGTATTTATACACTTCATCGTTATTATCACATATGGCTTCTTTAATGAAATTCATAAACATCTCAATTTTTGAGTAATCAAGCTTTTCGAGAACGTTGTATTTATAACCTTGAAACGTTGAGAAAACATCTGGAGAATCAGATTTAAAGCAAACACCCTTAACGGTTAATGAGGATAATTGATTTAGTAGTACGTCCCATGCTGTTATGGTTTTACCTTCTTCTTTAAATAATTTAATCATTTTGAGTGACTCTTTCATGTTTGACTGAAGAACGAATGATATTTGATTCATTTTGTCGTGGATATTATAGTCCTTTTGAATGAAATATTTATTTCCACAATCTACAAAACGGATTACACGTGATAAATCCTCAATTACTTCAGAACTGTTTTTATACTGATGATTTTCAGCCTTGCGTCTAATATCTGTTATCAAAAACGAGTCATCAAGTTTGATATCAAATGTTATTTTTGGCTTACGTAATAAAGGTAAAACATATTCATCATAATATTCCTTTTGATAAAGTTTTAGAATCTTCACTAAAACAAATGGAGAAGTCATTAAATGTGCATATCTACTACGTGCTTTTTCAAAATTACTTTTTGCATTTTCAGTTAAATTGCAGAAGTTATAAACGTTATCGTATGCTTCATTAATTAAATGATTAGGCAACGAATTAATTGCTTGAAACAGTGTGAATAAGGTTATTTCTTTTTCCAAATTCATGTTTCCACCGTCATTATGTACTTCAAAATCACTGATGCCATCAACTATGCTCTGGGCAAGTTTATCGTCAATGTTTACATCTTTGTTTTCATTCATGATAGTCTTTATTTCTTCATTCTTTTGTTCAACTCTTACATTAATATTCAAATCATTTAATATATCATTCACTGTTCTAGTTAATGTTGAATCATAACTTCCGCGAATGAATGAGTATGTATTGATTGGTTCTGTTGCATTCTTGCGAACTCTTGAATCAGCCATAACTACTAAAGAACGCTTTGAATCATCCATAGAAGTCATTATATCAATATCATAATCATTGCAGGAATAACATTTAATCATTCTGTTCGAAACTGAATAGAAGAAATTAGTGTTGCAATAAATGTGAAGACCTCCTGAAGCGGTTTTAACGATAACATCTTTATCCGAAAGTTTTGATAAAATATCTTTTCTAACTGTTTCTTTAAGTTCATCATTGTATGATTTATTGATATCAACATCTATAATCGTTAAATTTGAAATTTTATTTACTAATAAAGCCATACCAGTTTTCCTTCCTCTTCCTCCATCATGTTTGAGGTAGTTATGTAAATCAATCTTGTTTTCACCAATTCTTTCGTTGAGGGTTTTAGTTTCTGCCACAACTAATTCCTCAGCTAATGAATCAATAACTTTTTCATCAGAAATGATAAAGTTGCTGTTGTTGTTTGTTGCTGTCATTTATATAGGAATAAAAAAATAAAAATAATTTTAAAACTAACTTTATTTTTGGACTGCATCAAATTTTCGTAAATGTTGTCTAAATGTCATGTTGTCTCATTTTTTCAGAGAAGTTAAATAACCGAGTGACACATGGTGACATAGTGACACTTTCAGTTCTTCAAAAATAATTCATTATTGAATGACCTGAAACCATTAACGATAAAATATATTTTTGGTCGTTTATGACAAAAATAAATGGTTCATTTACTCACAATATTTTTGTACAAAACGACCCCAAGCTTTTAACTTCTTTTCTGCAGCTTCTAATGCTATCTTAGCGAGTTCATATTCTCTAAATTCTCTCTTTAAATTTTCTTGTTCCCATTGGTCTA